TTTCCACTGGCGACACGGAGGGAGGGGGAGAGGGAGCTCTGCAGGGCGGTTGAGCTTGAAGGTGCACTTTGGGACGGCTCCGGCTGGGCCCCATTGCCTGGGTGTCATTTCGGTCTTTCCATCGTGGAATGGGCTGTGAAGTTTGATTTGGCAAAGGATGCAAACAGGGGAATTGTAATTTTCGCAAAGAGGAAGAAAATATGGAGAGCAGAAATGATGCATCAGTTGGGTCCGGGAGAAGGAGCAGGAGGGGGGCAGAAAGATCCCGCTGCAGGAGGCAGTCTCTCCAAGATATTAGAGTCAACCATTCTCCACTGAAACTGACGCCATGAAATGATTTGGATAGGTAGCGAGGATACATGTCTACTTCAACAGCATCTGCTCGGTTCAGAATTGAAATATCGATCGGTGACATGAGTTGTACTTCTTTTTCTGTACAGTCAGGGCCGGGTGTCACTGTCACATAGGCCCCTCAATGACGTATTAGCAACTCCTCAACCAATGGTACCCCTGCGTCTGTTTGTCCATCCTCTCCACCATCTACCACAGCTCTTGCTCTCCTCAACATAACCACGACAAGAGGACGGTGCAGGAAGGAAACGAGTCCTCGGACGGGTCAATCAAACTGCCCACTTCCATCAGTTAACCGGGCTGCCCTGCAAGGTGCTGTCTTTCTCAAGTCTCAGGGGCGGCGAGGGCCAAAAACTCACCGGACGACGGACGGAAACCAGAACAAGAACAAAGAATAGCCGGAGCAGCCCACCACCAGTTGAAGAGCTCGCCTGCAGATACGCGCGTTTCCGATGCGAGATGCAAGTCTGGGGATGCAACGGGATGCGGTAGGATGCAGTGGAATGCAATGGTTTCGGACTGGCCATCTTGATGGACCCTATCTCGCCTTTGACACTTCCCTTCTCGCATAGAGCAAGCCGGTTGTAGATCCATGCTCCCATGCACAGATGTGCAGGCCATCGGGCCATGGCCTACCTGCTCTCCTGCCTCCTGCCATTGTGACATCCCAGCTCCCAACGCCACATCCCCCGCAAACTGCCTGCCTTGATCTCGTCTCCTTGGCTCCCGTCCGTCTTAATCTCGACCACTCCCCGCCATCTTCCTCTTCCGACTTTTCCCAACCAACAGTCCACGGATCTGAACATTACGACCTGGTACTGTTGCTACCAACGCCATCATGGATCGTCTCAGCAACAGTATGCCTCCAACCTTCTCTGCTCCCAATTGATGCTGACACTCCGCAGTCAACCCCTTTGCGCGGCGGGACTCGCACAGCACAGGGTCCATCGTCACATACAAGATCCTGACCGTCCTTACCTGGCTCTTGTCGGTCGTCGCCTCGGTGTACTTTTCGGTTGACGACAAGTACATTGGCAACGGTCACCATCGCCGAACCATCTGGGACCACAACTACTACTACTGGTCGGGATTCACGCAAAACTACATCATCTCGTCCATCTACTGGTACATGGCACTCTGGCCACCCCGTACATTCCGCAGCTAACACCCTCCAGGATCACAATCTTCATCCTCCAGATTGGATACGTCGCCCACCTCTTCTCGTCCAAGGTCGAAACTGTCAATGCGGCATGCTCGGTCGGAAGCCACTTCATCGCCAACAACCTGCTCCATGCCTCGTGGGCCCTGCTCTTTGTCAACAGGCACTTTGTCTGGTCCGAGATCATCCTCCTCATCAACTTTGTCAACCTCACGACGCTTTATTTCCGCCACAACTCGTACCCCCGCTTCATCCACCTGCCCGCCGTCTCGGGTCCTCTGGCCTGGACGTTTGTGGCCATCTACTGGAATGGCGCCATCATGGTGCCGCACCAGAACAGTCTGGTCGCCCGCGTCTTTGCCAACGTCTTTGTGTGGTCCATCCTGGGATACGGGCTGTTCTTCATCATCGTCTACAAGGACTACACGATGGGATTCGCCCTGAGCGTGCTTTCGGCCTCGCTGGGCGTGGCGCAGTTCCACCGACAGGTCGTGGCTTTCCAGTGGATCTTTGCCTTTACCATCATGGCCGGTATGTTGTGTCCTCTGCCCCTTTTCCGTGTCTCGGCTGACGGGTGTTTCTCCAGTTTTGTTCGTCATGACGGTAATCGTTGCCGTCCCTGCGTGGACTGGCAGGGACGTTCCCTGGGGTCGCCGCGCCACGACTGTTGATTCGGAGCGCGCCCCCCTTCTGGCGGACCCGTAGTCGTACAAGACGATATTCGGGATCGTGGTGGCTGGGGTTGCATGAGGGTTGTCGGGACTCGGGTGACGCAGTGGTCCGAGGGAGCGGGGTCGAGTGTTGGAGAATACGGCGACACATGGAAGCGGGCAGGATGGCGGACAGGATGCGTGGTGTTTTCAGTTTTACCTAGGTTGCCAAAATGAACATGCAATTACCAATACATCAATGTTACAGATCTCATGATGTGAGGTGATACTGGGTCGACAGCCAGAGCTGGTGTTTCCTTTGTGTTGCCGCAAGCCCGCTCAGCGATGACGTCAGTACCAGTTGGTATGTCAGGGCAGCTACGGGGACCCACTGTAATCCCCGCTAATGTCGTTCTTGTCCAGGCCCCGATAGAAGAATTTCCGGGGTAAATACGATAACTGATTAGCGAGATACTGCATCAACAACGGTCTGGACGCTGTGGGCCCAAAAAGAAAATAATTTCCAATTGAACAGCTCGACGCGTCCCAGGCACTCATTGCACCTCGCTTCCCCGCGTGGCAGCATCCCAAACCCGACAACCGAATCCAACAAACGGCGAACCCCACGACCGAACCCACAAGATGCGCGCCCTACTCCGAACCCTCCCCCCGCGCCCTCTCGTCGCAGCCGCGAAGCGCCCCCTCTTCACCGCCACGCAACCACGCCGACAGGACGACCCGGCGGGCAGCAAAGAGGCAGCAGCAACCCCAGAGACCTCCCCCGCGGCGGCGGCGGCGGCGCCAACCCCCAGCGAAGCCCCAACCCAAGACACGACGACGACCTCGCCCGACGCCCTCCCCATAATACGAAAAGTCCCGTACGTACCGAGGCCGGGCACGGAGAAGCACACGCGGGACCCCGGATCCGGCGCACCCATCGCCCCCTCGACGCCGCCACCCAACAAGGCCGTGCTGCCGCCCCCGCTCGCGGTCCTCTCGGTCGGCACCGACATCTGCCACGTCCCGCGCATCCAGAAGCAGCTCGACGAGCGCGGGCTGCGGTTCGCGACGAGGGTGCTCACGGACATGGAGATCCAGGGGGCGATACGCAAGGGGCTGCTGAGGTTCCCGCCGGCGGCGCTGACGGCGGGGGAGAAGATTACGCTGCGCGGGCCGAGGACGGCGGCGGCGGGGGCGAAGTACATGGCGGGGAGGTGAGTCTTTTCTTTCTTTTTTTTTGGGGGGGGGGGGGGGCGGGGGGGGTTGTTGCTGACGAGAGGATGGGATAGGTGGGCGGCGAAGGAGGCGGTCAAGAAGGCGTTTCCTCATAGGCATTTGGGGTGGCATGATGTGGTGATTGAGAAGAAGGGGGAGGAGGAGGACTTGGGCGGGAGGAGCGGGCCGCCGGTGGCGTTGGTGAGGGATGGGAATGGCGGGTGGGAGGAGGTGCCGGTTAGTATTAGTCATGATGGGGAGTATGCGACGGCGACGTGTATCGGGAGTCGGCCGGCGGGAGGTGTTGTGCGGCCGGTGGGAGGTGTTGTGCGGCCGGCGGGAGGTGTTGTGCGGCCGGCGGGGGAGGCTGGGGGGCTGGGGACGAGAGGGAAGAAGGTGTGGGGGGATGAACCGGTGTGGAACAAGAGGGGGGAGAAGGGTGGGGAGAAGAAGGATGTCGAGGAGGTCAAGGAGGTTGAGGAGGCCAAAGACGTTGGCGAGGCCAAGGATCAATAGAGCAGGCCATGTCTGGAGTTGGAAGAGACAACTCTGCTAGACATTCACCGGGGGAAGCGGACTTGGCCAGAGAGCCATGCATTGTGCCACATCAATGGCATATCCCCCTCCCCCCCCGGTCAGCCTCTGCCCAGCGCCCGTGGACCGTACTGTTGAACGGCACTACTGCAGTTTCCCCGCTGCCAAACACAATCTTTGGACTCTTGGGCTTTGTTTCTGGCCCATGCCGTGTCTCTATTTCGAGAGGCTGTTTCTATGCGTTTGGCTGTTTCTCTGTCGGGGTTGCTAGCTCGTCCCAGACACTGTCATTTCATGGAGTTCCGCGAGTGGTGGTGTTTGGTCAGGCCGTTGAGAGACCATTATGCGTGGATGGTGGTGGTGGACGTGGCGTGGCCCCTGGTCAATGTCATTGAAGGCTGGAAATGTTTATGCTTCCAGCGTGGAGAGATGTCAATGTGGGAGGGGCTCGAGTTGACAAATATCGAATCCCAGCCGACGGGAATCATGCTGGCTTGTTGGGCGCCATGGTCGAAGTCGTGGAGACGACCAAGTTGAGGAGCTGCCCCCATCCCATTCCCATCAGTCCTCCATGCTCCGATCTTGTCCCACCTCAATGCCCCTTGACAGTTCTCCAGTCCGAGCATGGCGAAAACAATGTTTTCTTGAACAGAGAAAACTTGTATTTTTGGAAGTGGCGTCGGCCATCCCCGTGCCCATGTCGCATCAGTCGATCGTCAAGTCTCAACCATGGGCCAAGGGTCCGAAAATACTTGAATTCCAATGGTCCAGGAGGGTCTCTGCGATTGTCAGGAACTGTCAGCCAAAACTTTGGTGTAAATGCATCAACTCTCATCTCGCAACGATTGGAACATGGTCATGTCAGGAGACGGACCGCCTTTTTTGTAGGTCCGGAAAGTGTCGGCGCCAAGAGGTGGCCGGCCCGTGCTCAAGCTTGCGCAGGTACCCACTAACAGCATGCGCATGTGGAGCAGACGCCGATGAGGTGGAAACGACTCTCCATTTCCCCTCCACTGCCCTCCACCGTCATCAGCATGCTCACAGGCAAACACCGATCTTGAGACGGCTTTGGCCCTGCTTCCAATGCGTTCGGTTGAGTGGCGCAATGGTAGCGTGTGGTCCTCCTATTGCAGAAGGGTTTCCAGACTGAGGTTGTGGGTTCGAGTCCCATCTCAATCGATGTCCACGGGTTGAAGCACCCATGATTTTTGCCGGATCCGTGCTGTGCTGCCCTGTCTTTGATGGACGGGATCATTGATGCCCCTTTTTACCGCCCCGGCGGTCCCCAACTCCCCAACTCCCCAAATACAGGGCGTCCCACTCCCCCCAAGTTCGAAACGGCGTCCTCCATCCTCCATCCTCCGCCTTCTCTGACGGGTCTTGTCCGATTGCAACGTCCGAGGTAGCAACCAGGCACGGGATTTGCTCCGCTGCGGCCATCCCCGACTACTTTCCCACTGTGTACCGTGTGTTTGCGTGTCTCGTGGACCGCCAAATCCCATCCCCGTCTTTTTCGCCGGCCCCCTTTTTTATTCTTCTTTTTTTTTCTTCCCGTGGTGGTTTCGCTGCCACTGCCGCTGCCGTTGCCACTGCCACATGCCAAATCCGACCACCTCAGCACCCGACACCACCAGTGACGACCACCTGCTGCTGAGTGGCCCTACCCCTGTGTTTCAGTTGCCCCAGAAAAAAAACCCCGCCGCCGCAGCCAACACGCGCAACGTTTTACCTACCACCAAATCCACTACCTACCTACCTTACCCGACAGAGCAGAGCGAGTGACGTGACGTGACGGCAAGACGAAACCTACGACCCGACACAAGCCAGCCGCGGAGAGAGTGACCTACTGGAGAGAGACTGGAGAGAGAGCGCGAAGAGAGACAGCGAGAGAGAGAGAGAGAGTAGCATACGCCGCCGCTCACTGCGAAACACGCGCGACAGACGCCAGACGCCAGACGCGCCCATTCACCCACCTCACCCACCTCGCCCACCCCCGCAACGACCAACAAGCATGGCAGACCCGGCGGCCCCCTACAACGAGAGAGCGGCCCACGACAAGATGATGGCCGACATGATGGCCAACCCCACGCGGCTCAAGCTCGCCCAGGAGGTGGTGAGTTTGCCCCCCCCCCCCCCCTCTTGATCGATAAAATGTTGTCGACGACCACCACCGCTGACAATCCCCCCCAGACGGATGCGTGGCAATGTCTGGACACGCCCGAGAACTTCTTCGACCACGTGCCGCTGCCGGCGCACTACGACTTTTCCGCCGAGCAGGGGGGCGTCCTCTACTGCCGGAGCTGTGTCGAGGTGGCCTTTTTCCTGCAGGGCGACCAGTTCCCCTTCATCTCGATCAAGGGGAGCGGGCAGATCCGGATCCCCAACGGCGTGTCGGTGAGGGTGTTTCGGGGCAAGGACGGCGCGGCCGTGTGCCGCTGACGACGACGACGACGACGCGGGATGGGCATGGACGACGGACGGAGGGGCGGACGGACGAGGGAGAGCTAATGGAGTCGACACCACATTGTAATAACTACCGCCGACCTAACTCTGCGCATCTTTTGCCGTCACCGACACAGGCGGGCACTTGATGGGTATTTTCATGGATACTCGGCTTCCGGTCAAAAATATAGCGTTGGCTTTTTTTCACTCTCTAGGTTGGGCTCAATGGGTGGCTGAAGCGTTGGTTCATGATATTCTCTCACTGTCCCCTTGCCTTGCCTTGCCTCGGTGACCGTCCCCGCTGCTCCGTGTCATTCCCGGCGCCCGTCCGGAGATTACACGGCTGCAATGACTTTTTTCTCCTTGTGTCCCCGCGACGACGGCCGCCTGATCTTTGTGTGACTTGAATGCCCCTTTTTTTCTCGCGTTGACATGGGTAAATGGGGGGGGAGCCGACCGGGTTCGCGGCCAACTCCAACTGACGCCGAGAGTCTCCGTCCGCGGCTTGGAATGGTGAAAATGAGGGGTCTGTCTGGGCGAGAGCTGAACTGGGTGTCGGGTGATGATTTTGGCTTTGCAGATGACCAAATCTTGCGCTTTTCATTGAGGGTGGCGAGGGGAGGTGGTGACGGAGTGACGACCTCACTCATTCAACACATGAAGTGAGATGAGAAACTTGGACTCACTCACGACGGGCGACTCAATTTCATAAAAAAGTGAGTGTACACCATGGATTTTATTTTGTAATCTCATGACAGACATTCAGTTTTATCGCTTTCCGGTTGTCATGAGAGATGGAGACTGAGACGTTGCAGTCATCGACCCGCCATCTCCCCCCTCCCTCCACATCGACGCGACCCCAAATGCCCTCAACACCCGCGCAAAACTTCAACCTCCCAACTCACCACCTTCCCACCCCAAACAAAGAGTCAACATCTCCCCCCCATCCTGCCCCCTCCCCCAAAATGGCCTTCACCATGCACTCCCACTCAGGCGAATTCTGCCCCGGCCACGCCGCCGACACCCTCGAGGCCATCATCCTCCGCGCCATCGCCCTCGGCTTCAAAACCATCGGCCTGACCGAACACATGCCACGAACCCACATCGACGACCTCTACCCGGAAGAAGTCCGCCCCCCCCCCCCGTCCCCCACCAACCCAAAACTAACCCCCGCCCCCCGCCGGTAGATAACCCCCACAACCCCCCCCTCAACCGCCCTCTCCCTCTTCCCCCCCCGCCACGCCCTCTACCTCACCACCGCCACCGCCCTCCGCCAAAAATACGCCCCCCACATCCACATCCTCATAGCCTTCGAATCCGAATGCCCCCGCCCCTCCTACCTCCCCTACACCCTGCACCTCGCCTCGGACCCGCGCATCGACTACTTCATCGGGTCCCTCCACCACGTGCGATCCATCCCCATCGACTTTGACGCCGCCACGTACCACCGCGCGCGCGCCGCGTGCGGCGGCACCGAGGAGGGGTTGTGGACCGAGTATTTCCGGGAGTTGCGCGCCCTTGTGGCGGAGACGCGGCCGAGGGTGGTGGGGCATGTGGATCTGGTGAGGTTGTACAGTGAGGAGGAGGGGAGGGATGTGCAGGGGTGGTGCGGGGGGCGGTGAGAGAGGGGGATGCTGACACGTGCAACGCAGGAATGGATTCGCATGGGCGGGAGGTTCACCTTTTCCGATGACAGCCATGGGGTTGCGCAGGTCGGGACAAACTACCTCCGCGGGTTGGACTACCTCGAGGGGCTGGGGGTTACGGAGCTGTGGACGCTGGAGCGCGTGGGCGGTGGTGATGGGGATGGCGTCAAGGCGGAGCTGCGGGAGAGGTCGGTGACGATTGCCGAGTTTAGGGCGAGCTTGAAGTTGGATTGAGATTTGGACATGGGGGTCTAGGTGTGATGGGGATAGAGGCAAGGAGATGGATGCTGGATGTATTGGGAGGTCTAGATGGCCATGGATGGTGAGATGAGCAGAAACCACTGCACCAGCGTCACCGAATCCGGCATCCTCATCGCCCCGTCAAACGCCATCAGACCAACAGATGGCGGCGGCCGTAACATCTCGGAAACAACATCTCCGCCCCAAACCACCATGGCGATATCAACGACCCCCAGCACCCCATCGTTACCGAGAATCCAACTACCGAGCCCTGCAGCAGCACCGTCACCGCCTCAGACAGATAAGACCACCATCCTTGGCCCCGCGGAACGAGACTGCCCGTCCATAGCGCCCAGAGTCACACGACGGAGACGGCCTCTCCACCTTGCCATGATCATGATACCACTTGACAGTGCCACGACAAAACACAAAACACCAAGCATGACATGACAGACAGTGTATTCTTATCGGATCCCCCTTTCCCCAGCCCCAGTCATACTAGTACACAGCAACCCTCTTTTCCTCGCTCTATTATCGCGCCGCCGCAAGGAAAACGAAGAGATCCACCAGAGAAGAAGAGACCGTTGCAAAGACAATTGCTGACATTTGTGTGTGTTGAAGGGCATGACCATTTCATCATCGCCGTTATAAAACCATGAGCTCGTGTGTCTTTTCCCATCCGTCATCAGACAAGGCAAAACAGCAAAGAAACTCCAACACGTAACCCGCCCACCCCGCCCCCCACCGCGTGTAACCATCCAAAAGCCAGAGAAAACACCAGATCAAAAACCCGCCCGCCAAAAAACCCAGACATGTTTACCAATCACCCCCCGTCCGTTTTGGTTTTGATCCCCAGAAGCAACAAACGCCGGCCATCCTTTCCCAACCTGCCAACCTCCGGTCCCCAGTAGACAATAGTGTATATAGATGGTAGGAAAGGAGAGGCAATCCGCAAAAGAAAACAGAGAAAAAGACGGTATTAGAGAGCAAGGCCCGTACCGTCACCTGTCCAGCGATACAGGGCGAGGAGCTCCCTGCGACGCTGGTGTTGCTCCCCAAGATCCTCCGGCACGCGGCCGCGGACCTGGGCGAGCGCGCTGCGCATCACTCTGCTAAAGTTGCGCTGGTACTCCGTGTTCAGAGTCACCACGCAGGCCTCGTGCGCGCGGATGATGGTCTCGCAGGCCTTGACCACGCTGGGCGACGCCTCGACGGCGAGCTTGTCGGCGATCAAGAGGAGCAGGAACGAGCCCTGCAGGAGGTAGATGCCAAAGAAGAAGGGCATGAACTCGAGACCAGGGTCGAACTCGAGAATGTGGCTGATGGCCTCGGCGGCCGACACGGCGTGGCCCGTGGCCGTGATGAACCCCTGGCTGCTGATCCAGAGGTCGTTGTCGTCGAGGAGGTTGATGGGGTCCCACTTGCCAGTGAGGAGTATGTGGAGCACGTGCATGACATGTGTGCCGTACGCCATGACGATGCGCGTCTGGATGTCGCTCTCCGTCATGCGGCTTGTGTTGGTGTGCACGCTGTGCACGCTCTGGACAGAGGGTGTCCCGACATCGTGGGGGATGTCGTTGGCTGTGGGGACGCCGGCTGCCTCGGCCGCCTTCTCGTCGGCGGCTTGGGCCTGGGCGCTGAGGCTGAGATGGCGCTGCTCGAACCGCTTGAGGCTCTGCTCATACGACTCGAGGTGGCGGGTGATCTCGGCTGTCTGGTCATCCCACTCCCGGGACGAGCGGAAGCCAACTCCGAAGCGGGGATGGTTTCGAGCATGGTGAAGGTCCACAATCTCGCCCAAGATGGTCATCAGAGGAAGAAAGTATCCAAAGATGCTGTGGCCGGTGCACT